TCTTTCAGAACAAAACACAGCTTGGGAGGATGTTTGTCCTCCAGAGGAAAGCTCAGTGGGCCAGAGCATAGCATATTGTTTTTTGATTGCCTAGCATTCCATTTGTAGCCTGAGGGCCCCAGAGCACTGGCCTAACATCAGGAGCCCCTCCAGGACATCTCAAGATTGATGCTTTGATTGCTACAGTCATTCACTGCAGGAAATTAACCCAGACTCCTGGGGACCAAGCCACCATCAGCTGCTGCCCCCAGGAGATTAGGAAACTGGGAGCAGACCCACTTTAGGCAATCTGCTGAACAAATATAGACTTGAAAAATGAAAGAACTACACTGATGCCTGTTTCTGTTTCCTGAGAAAGATTTCTGACAAATATTTCTCTCAGTGGTAACGAATGTTCTAACTTCAATCTGGTAAATACACCTGTGACCATTACAAACCTTTACCCTGAGTTGCTGTAAAGCTGATCGTTAAATAAATACATTATAATATTTGTGAATATCAATATAGCTAACATTTAAAATGTATTTTTTCACTCTCTCTTGCAGTTTCATTTAATAAAACAGAAATTCTAGAGGAAGATACCTTGTTCTTGAGAATTTCAGCATGTGTTATTAGATCGGTTTCCTAACATACAGGGTGTCAGAGTGAATGCAGCTCATGCCAGGGGGAAACAAGAACAAGAGCTAATAAACCTCCTGTAAAGGCCGACAGGGTTTATAGTGCAAGAGGGCTTTTTAATCCAAGGTTAACACTCTGTACACTCAGTTTAAGTAAGCAGCACGCAACTGTCCATGAAGTAATAGTGACAAGGCAGCGTACTGCTAAAGGAGGTATTATTCTTAGTCTTTTCTTTGATTTTCAGTCTTCTTTTCTCAGTACCTTTGTCATTAGTAGTTACTGAACTCGTGCAGGGGCCTTGGCCCTATGCTGAAGCAATACCTTATTGAGTAATGGAAGAATATCAATGGACTTCACTGTTTTCAGATATTTACCTTTGAGATTTCTTTGTTCTTGTATCTGGATGCAATCACATGGGTCTCGCCTCTGGGTTCTAAGCAACGCTCTTTGAATCCCATTAGTAAATTTATTTCCATAGAGCCAGAGAAAGTTATACAGAAAGACAGGCAAAATTTTGCATTATGCAACAGCAATAAGGTTTTCTGTGGGTTTTTTTAGTTCAAAATTTATTTTAATTTTTAGGTGTTCGCTATATTTGTACCTCTCTGTCTATGGTATATTTTTTTGCTTATCAAGGCCATAGCTCTGATATAACCAGTAGTAGTGAATTCTCAACTATTTAAAAAGTATAATGTTCTCGCTTTTTGTTTGTTGTTCCTTCTTAGCTATTTTTTCAATCAATTCTCATTATTTCCATTTTGGTCCCAGGGGAAGAATATAGAACAATTCCTGACATGAAAGAATTTCTGACTAAGAGAATAACCAGAACTTTCTGAAGGTAGAAATGGGAAGCAGAACTAGAGAAGGATATTCTGGCTTCAAGAAAGTTGTCAGTGACTCTTACACACCATGGAACAAAATGCCATCCTCACATCCCATTAGTGTCTCCAACAAACTCAAAATTTTCAAAAAGAACATTATTTGATTAAAAAGGAGTAGGGACTAATGAGTGTGCAAAATGGAATTACTAACAACATTAAGACAATCAAGCTTATGTGGTAGAAGAATCTGACTCCATACCATGCCTTCCCTGGCACCTAGATCTGTCAATTTCACGTGAAGTTAATGTTCTCTTCTAGGATATTGAAAATGTGCAATATTTTACAAACCCCAATACAATATGCCTGGCTCCTTTCCAGCATTTATTTCTGAGCTGTAAATAAGCCATCCAATTAACTATACTTAGTTCTCTGATTGTCCCCTCTACAGACTCACAATACTGTCAACCAATTATGAGGTAGACTCTGATAGATGTAAACAAAAACGTGTCTATTCAGGATTTGTTAGTACTGCAGCCCAGGAAAAATACAAATTCAAGGGTCCCTTGGATTGTGTTTTCCATGGCTGAAAGGGAGAAGGAATGTTTTACAGTTGTGGCTAACAAAGGTAAACAAGAAAAAGGGAAAGGAATGTCTTTTAACAAATTCCAGGCTCAAGGTTGTCATGGAGTGAGGGTTGGTTGAAACAAGCCATTAAAATTTAGGAATGTAGAAGATGACCTTGATAGGAATGAGGTCTCTGTCAAGATAATCTTACCTTCCTTGAGAAGATTTGCTGATGCATTTCAGTCATCTAGTGAATTCAAGAGTTCATCCTGAAGGAGGAATTTTTTCATCTTCTCTTCAAGTCTGCCTGGCTCCATTTTAGTGACTTAAGTTGAGAGACACCATCTTTTTCCAATTCCACAAAACAATATAGCCAGACCAAGAATTTTCAATCACATTATTTGTATAGACTCTCCACATGGCATACAAATATTCCCCACATTCGAGCTACTCTAACAACAAGAAATGTAATGTCGTCAAGTAGTCAGGCCTTATAGCTCAAGCTCTGAAGTCCAACTCACTGGATTAAAATCCTGGCTCCACCATTTCCTATCTGTATTCTCTTGGATGACCTACTTAATTTATCTATGTCTTCATCCTCACTGAAAAAATTGGGATTTAAAAATTATATTATCCAATTGGGTTGTTTGAGTTTAAAATAATAAAGTACCTACACAGTGCTTGGTAAATAATTAGAACAAACTAATAAAAGCAATTTTTTGGCTCATGGCGCAGTATTGCACAGATACGGAAATGTTCTTGAAATTCACTATGCTCGACTTCTAGGAGAAAAACATGCTGTTAAGCTATCCACGTCTTAAAGAACCTAGAGTAAGTAATGTCAACGCACAAATCCTACCAGAGCCTTTATGTTCAGGCAAAGTCAAGATCAAGAAATTCCTTGTTCTGTAGAGTCATATCTATAGTTTTTGAGAGTACTGCATAGACTATCTGGGTCATGATCCATACTGCTTATGTCCTTTGTACCTAAAATGGAGGGCTTTTCTTGGTCTCTGTCCTAAGATAAAAATCCAGTATAGAGAAATCATGAGAATAAACTGAAGCTGAGGTCCAAGAAGCAAGTACCAGATAAACTATCAAATGATATCTTGTGTATATTGAAACAAACACTCCACTAAGCATTTAGTGGGCATAATGTCATTTAGTTGTCACAATCATCCAATGAATTAGGCATTACCTCCATTTTACAGTGAAGGAGCTGAATCTCAGAAGTGTTAATTTGTCCCAAGATACACAGCTAGTAAATGGCAGAATTTGGATTTGAACGAGATCTACTCATAATCCAAGGCCAACTCTCTTCCCACTACACTATATTGCCTACCAAGCACCTCTTCACATTGCCACACCATTGTCTATTCCAATACCAAGAATCTTTAGCACCTGAGTCCACACAACTTCTCTCTTTAAAGAGGTCCAATGTGCTCCATGTTGGATGAGATTAGATACTGGCCCTTCTTCAGCTAACTTCTCCTTAGGGGAGTGATCACGCTCAGCCTAGAAGAATGAGTTAAGGTCAAGTATGATGATCAGAGTAGACTGGGAAATGAAAGCCCTGTTTAACACTCTTGTCTCTTTCTCCTGCCACACCACTCCTTCTCTCCCCACCCCCAACACACACACATATACCACACATAGCCACTTTTCACCAACATCCTGTCTTCCCAACAAGCTGCACCCAGTAAAGGAACATATACTTGGTAAGCAAAGGAAATGACTTTGTTTTCCCTCTTTTCTTCAGAAACAATGACTCAGATAAGTTGAACTGTTCCCAGATACTGCCATTTGAGTTGCATTAGTAATAATTTTCACTGGGAATAAATTTCATCTATGTTTGCATGATTGGCTGTGACTGGAATCCTGAAAAGCAGCCACGCAGATGAAGTCTCCTTACTGCTATGTTGCTGCCACCACTGCTATGGCCAGAATCTTTATGTCAATATTTCTTGCTGCAGAAATGCTCTGCTATTGTGGCTGTCACATGCTCTGTCACTATTGTTGGGATCAAACAATGTTCAGCCTCTTTCAGAACCCTTCAGCTCCTCTTCAACTCCACTCCTCTGCAGAAGCATCTGTGTAAGTGCTGTTTCATAGATTTTAGGTTCAAATCTTCCTCTTTAGGATGACCTGTGTCATCCCAAACCAAAGGGCTGACAGATAAATCAACATTAGCTTTGTCATAGACACAGAGATCCTTGCCAGCCCACCTCAACAAGGCATGACATGTGTTTCTTAAGCTTTTTCTTTAGCAGAAAGTGCTGCCTGTATCTTCCAAAATACAAAACAGCTCATCTCTTATTTTTTGCGTGACTAGCTTTCCTAATCTGTCATAGATTTCTGGGTTTATCTACAAATTGCCACCTCTGCCCTCCATATTGAATTTCCCAGCTAGCTAATCATGTTGCTAAATCCTACTGAGCAATTCCTAGATACAAGGTCACATGTTGAGAACTTTCAAATTATTAACTTATCAAGTCCCGCAGTGGCCCTGTTATTATCTTCTCAATTCTGGAGTTGAGGAAACAGAGGTAGAGAGTGGTTAAATAACTTTCACGTAGTCACAGAGTTGAGATTCAAATAGCCTTCACCCAGCACAGCTAAGATTCAGACCCAAGGAAATCTGACTTCAGAGTCCATGCTCTTAACCACAACCTTATGTCACCCTGGAAAAGGACAGATCATTTAAAAGCTCACCCACAGCTTCAGAATAGCCAAGCTATTCCAAACAAAATTAATGGATCTTCACACATTCCAACTTTGTGGGTTTATGATATTCATATTGAACATGTTCCCCATCTTTTGCTGACTACCACAAGTGTGTTCTTTTATTCTGATTGATACTGTACAAACTATGGTAAGGGAACATGTTCTCTTTTTTTCTTCCAAATATTTATACCTTTTCACTTGGTGGAAAAAAACCCCAAAGCATATTTTATAAAACGCATAAAAGCATTGAATAAAAATAATGTGACAATTAAGTTTCTAAGAGAAGTAAATTTATTTAATACAAAGAACATTTTTTCAACTCAAATAACACTCAAGGAATAGTGAAAAGAGGAAGAAGATAAGCAGAAATGTAGCGAGTATGCTAAACTTGAACTCATTATGTTCAAAGGTCTCTGGCTACTATGTGGTTAGGAAGTCCATGGAGGTCAAATTCAAAATTCTCTTGCACTTTTGAAGCAATAGATTAAATCTCATAGTTAGTTAGAAGAGTCTTGTGACACAGCAGACAAAATAGTGGATAGACAACGAGTAGACACAGATTTGAGTTGTAGTTCTGACGTTATTAACTCCATGGACAACCTCTGATATAGCAGAACCCATCAGAATTCACAGGACTAGATGGGCTTTGAGGTCTCCTTAAATTCCAATATTATATAGATTTCTGATATTAGTAGCACATTAGTTAAAAAGCCAGATTCGATGCTAAGCGTTTCCATCGATAATAACCAGTAGCCAAAGTGTAATTTTTCACTTTTTAAGTACTTATGTTAGTCCCTATTGTGACTTTCATTGCTGTATAGTAGCGTCCTAGTGACCTAAAATAGTTAACATGCTTTTCAATTGCAGCTCACCACCAGAAATGCCCCAAAGAGAAAAAAAATTCTTCTCTTTGGAGGCAGTAGAAGATATGTTCATTCACGCACAAACACATGCACAGTAATTTATATTTAGAGACATAAAAGTTCCTAGATATCTCAGGACTCAATTCATCACAATTAGAACATATTATCTCCCCTACACATTCTACACATTCTTCACTTACTAGGCAATTGCACACCACCAGTAACACAGCAAGCTGGTTCATAAGTGTTAGAAGAAGATTCTAGGAATTGTGGCCCTGGTGCTACATAGACCAGGGGTCTACAGGAAGTGGATTCAGAGCTCTGAGACTGGTATTGGTTAGATTCACATTCCAGAGTTTGGCAACTCGTAGACACGGAAGTCTTGGGTGGACAACACTTTGCCACGTAGCTCACAGGTTGGCAGCTCTGGACTACAGAACCCATTTGCTGGCTGCTTACTGATTGGCAAGGCTGAGAAACACACTCCAACACTGTAGAAGAAGTTCCTGATTGACATGTTGTCCTTTCACAGAGCCTGGAATTAGAGCAAGTTGTGTGGACAACTCTGGGGAGGCAGGCACTTGGCACACAGCTATTCTCTGTGCACCGTTCCTGTTCACAGTTGGGTGCTTTGCAGCTGATGGTTTCATTGCAGGTTTCTTGAAAGTTGTCCAAGAGCCAGGTCCTGCCATGGTAGCTGCTGGGTAAAAAAAATCCATCTTCAAAGCTTATAGGTTTAGAGCTATGTACGATGGCAGAGAGTGGTGGAACATTGTAGAAGTTCTTCAGTGAGTGGCAGTGGCTCTGGAGCATATTGTTAAAACCCTTGATTGAAGTTGCTCATAAGTTCCCAACATACTGGGTATGAAGATCAGATTCTTTGCTGGGGAGATTATATACTCAGAAAACTGGGTGTTGGCTTCTTCTCAAGACTCCTTTCCACATCATTGCTTAAGCTAATTTGAAGAATAACATCTTATTAGCACTTTATTTAGTTATATATGAAAATGATGTCTTACTAACAAAGAAGCTGGTCCATTTTGAATCTTCAAAATGGCTTTCATGTTGGTCCCAAAGCTGACTCATCAGGGTGGAGTTTGTCAAATATGAGTCCCAACATGCCACCCAAGCTAACATTGCTTTTCCTTAGTCACTGTGACTCTCCATGTTGGTAAATGGACAATAAGAAACATATGTGGAAACAGCCAGTTGAATATTGATTAAAATTAGCGCTGGAGTTTTGAGAGATTCTACCTTGGCCGAACACGATAATGTGATCAAGAGATTTTTAGTCAGACACCAATCCATTGAGCCCATCCTCATTCTACTCAGATCCTTGTCCATCCAGTTGATCTAGAAGGGACAGAAGGAGTCTACAATGAAACTCCTTCTTACTGTTCACCCAAAGTACTGAATAGGCCATTGCTCTTTAAGCATCTTTCCCTTTGCCTACCATTTTGTTCCCCTCATCTTATTGAGGGCCAAACTTAAATGTTGCCTCTTTATGAACCTTTTCCCTAATCTTCCTATTTAGAAGTTATACTTCCTCTGAATTACCAATGGATTTTGACACATTCTCTATTGTGATTATATTTTACACAAAGTAGGTGTTTACTTCTACTTGTGCTTCTCAAAGGTTGATAATTAGCCTTTGTAACAAATCTGTTTCAGATAAGCTTCTCATCTGCATATTCAGTGTTTTTTCACTGCAGAATGATGATCAGCTCTACATTTATCACATTAGCATACTGTACTTAGCATAGTTTCATACTCACAGCATAGGACTTACCAGCACAATTTCTATAACACATTCTATAATTTATTTAGCTAAGCTTATGACTTAGCATAGCACTCTGGTCTCCCTTTCTTAGATCTGAGGAAAACCAAGAACATTCAAGAATTTTGAACAACTTTTACCCAAACTCTGTTGATATATGATGGACTGGGGATATTACCTATTTAAGAGGACACTTCTGAATACACTCAGCTCGACAAGCTGTACACTCAACTTGTGTATAATGCCTTTGTAACACATGCAAGTGATTTGTAATTTTGAATGACCACTCTTGTGTGATTAAAGGTCCCATTACGCCCTCCACATGAACCCTACAACAACTCGTTTAATTCTTATGCCTCTATGTATTTATCATTGCACAGAAGCTTCCACTGTAGCTTGTGACTCTCCTGCTTAAAGTTATTAAATGGATTCTCATTTCCCTTAGAATAAGATGCCTTCCCCTTAGCCTGGCCTCCAGCACCTTGCAGGACCTGGCTGCTGTCTATTTTTCTAACTCCTCATGTTATCATTTCCCTCTGCCACAAATGCTCCATTCTCACAGGCCTCTGCTCAGCTCATTGAGCAGGTCAAGCTTTTCCTTGTCTCAGTATTTGGCATGTACAGTTGCCTGTCTGTTTCACCTTCACTGCCCTCTTCCACTCTATATACAGCTCCTTTCCTCATCTTTTGTGTCTCAGCTTAACAGTTACCTCTTAGAGTGGTTTTCCTTCATCACCCTACTTGAAAAAGACTCCGTTCTCAGGGTGTATTCTTTTTCCTTCATAGAACTTATCTCGGTTCATAATGATTTTATTTGTTTCTTTATTGAGTCTTTGCCGCTCCACCATGAGTTCCATAAAGGCAAGAAGTATGTGTATCTTTCTGACTAGCATATCCCCACTACTGAACACAGTGTCTGGCTGGCACTTAATAAGGACTCCATAAGTGTATATTGAAAACTTAATGAATGGAAGGTGCTAAATAAAAATTTACTCAAATTATAGTTAAGTGTTTGAAAGGATGCAGTTCTGAAACCTTGACATATCCAAGATTTCCAAGAATTGGCAAGGGCAGAGAGCTTAAAGAAAAAAAAGTAATAATCACCCTGCCTACCTTTAAGCTACCCCTTTGTGAAATAAGAACAAAATCATTAAGGAAGCTGCTTATTAGCATGGCACGAGCTGAGTCAATTATTTTAAAATAATGTTTGATTTTACATGGGCATGTTTTAAGAAGCTTTTACCCTGAAAAAGGGCACCACTTTTCACTGTCAGCACAGAGTCTTGTTGCCAAATTCTGAGGAGCAAAGGAAGGACATCATGGAGGCCAGCATTCACACAATCGTCTCCAGCACACAGCCTTCTTAGTAAGCTCACAGTGGGTAGTAAATTAGTGAACACGTGTGCAGTTCCAAATCCCCAAATGTCAGATGGTAATGTCAGGTCTGTCATTTGTGAATAAGGCCACTCCAGGAGTTCTTTTCTCTTTGAGATGAGGCATTAACTTGCACATTCTGTTTAATCGAATGCTGAATTAATAGGTGTTTCAGCATATAATTTTGGTTCAATGAATAAATGCAGATTTTGGCTGGTGCTGGATTTATAGAGGGAGTTACCTGGCTTATTACCTCAGAATGACGAAGGCTAGGACACCTGGTTACCTTGCAATTGTTTTTATGCAGTTTATCTCCTAGTATTCTTGAGAAATAGGTGGAAATAGTTACCTGATTGCTGATGGTGACTGGACACTTTACTACCAATTGGTTGAACAGCAATTTACTGGTCTAGAAGTACACGAAAGCTCGCAGCTGCAGTGGCACCTCCTAAACACCAGGGGGAAGACTATCAACATTTGCTTTGGAGAAGCAATTAAATATAAGGATTCCAAAACTAGACTGCCAGGATTCTAACCCAAGATCTACAATCACAAACTGTAATCTTGAACAACATTTCCCTTAAATTTCTATAACTTAGTGTCCTCATTTTTTTTTTTGAGGAAGACTGGACCTGAGCTAACATCTGTGCCCATCTTCCTCTACTTTATACGTGGGACGCCTGTCACAACCTGACGTGCAAGTGGTGCCATGTCTGCACTTGGGATCCAAACCAGCCAACCCCAGGCCTCTCAAGTGGAACGTGCAAACCTAACCACTGTGCCACCGGGCCAGCCCCCAGTTTCTTCATTTTAAAAATGAAAATTATGAGTATCAACCTCAGAAGTTTGTTTTACTGATTAAATGAGGTGATGTATATAAGAACCAGATTGCCTGCCATATTGTGAGTGATAAATGAATAAAAATAGCAATTATTTCTGATCAGGTTAAGGATCTTCATGCAGACCAAGATGTTGTTCTCATGGCAACGTCAGTCTGAGACTGGTATACAACCACAAGGTAAAATAAACACAGTATCTATTTTGCGTTTGAGATTATGTTGTTTGTGTCTGTAAATGTTGCACCTTCCATTCTTTTAAGGGTTGAATTGTATGTATCATTCCAATTAAAAGTATAGTCACCTGTCTCCATCTCTCAAGAGCTTGGCACTTGGTGGTTATAAGGTTGAATAGTTTATATTAATTTGTGTGTGTGTGTGTGTGTGTGTGTAAGATTGGCCCTGAGCTAACAGCTGTCACCAATCTTCCTCTTTTTGCTTGAGGAAGATTGTCGCTGAGCTAACATCTGTGCCAGTCTTCCTCTATTTTATGCGGGATGCTGCCTCAGCATGTCTTGATGAGTGGTGCTAGGTCCATGTCTGGGATCTGAACCTGTGAACCCTGGGTGGCTGAAGTGGAGCACACAAACTTAACCACTACACCACCGAGCTGGCTCCTAGCTTATATTACTTTTATATTTGATTACGTGGCTGTGCTAGACTTCTAATCACTTTTTCAGTGATTAAAATAAAAAAAAATTAAAAATTAGAGCCACCCTTAAGTAACATAATTCAACTCAGTTCTGCCACAATTTATTTCCTCTGTCATGCCTTGGTTTTATCTCACCAGCCAAGCTTATGCCAAACTGCCTAAATTAAACTAAATCCATTCCTCTTCTTCAACCAAAAAGTCACTCATATAGATACTGAGCATAGCAATTGAGGAATACTAGTCCAAGAGGAAAGAAACCTGGCTTCTAGCCCTGCTGGTTCTATGAATTCACTGCATGAATTTGGACAAGTCACTTTGCCTCTCTGGATCTCTTAAAAGATAATGAGTTCAGATGAGAAGATCTCTAAGGTCCTTTCCAGCTGTCGCACTCTATGATTTTCTATCAGAATCTTAATATCTTAGAGTTGAATAGGACATTAAATGGCATCTTGTCAAATCTACCTACTGAATGAAATTCATGCTTTCATTTAAGCCATCTAATCTTCATTAAGATTCCTTATGAAAATTTTAACGGGACAGACCAAAGACTGAAGTCAGTAGACTATTAGTTGCCATGCATGCTGGTAGAAATCCATAACTTTAAATGAATAGTCTTATTGTATTTGAGAGTACCTCTAAGAATAAATTAAAAGTATTTCTCTGGCCAAAAACACATTGGTCCACCTCAAAAGAATGTGTTAAGGGGGATGACTAACTTCTTTCAGATATAACATTCTGTAAAATAAGTCACATACCATATAACCCTTCTTGGTCACTGCAATACATACAGAAAAAATAATTTAGCCTCTGGAATATCCAAGATTATGACACTATGACTATAATAATAATCCTATATGGAATATGGAAATGGTCTCTTCCCAGCTTTCTTTGTTTCTAATGATAAATATATTCTCTTAGATATGGTAATAAAAAGATTCACGTGACATCATTTCTTCTCTGAAACTCTCTCTAAATAATTTTGATTTGGGGATAATCCTTGGTCATTTCCAATTCAGTTATATGGACTTTGATTCAAATAGCCAAAAAACAAAAAATAAGAAAAGTGAGAGGATTACACAATGTCTTTGTAGCCCTTAATAATGAGTAATTGGAAAAAAGAATGAACCATAGTATCTCAAACATCTGATTATTAACTCCCATATTTTCCAACCCCTTGTTCCTTTACATCTTGGATGAGAAAGTGCCATGGTTTATTATAGTAATTATTTATTTGCTTTGTTCCTTTCCCCAGATGCACTTACTCTGGCCTGCCTCTGAGGTTAGCTTTTGGTGAACTTATTTTTCTGCCTTTGTGTGATCCAGAAATGTGATTTTCTTTTTGAGTTCTTCCACTTCTCCTCCAGGCACTGTGGGGAACTGGGATTGGCCACCCCAAGATCTGTCTCTTTGTCATGAGGATTATTTTGGGCTGATTACTTTTAAAAACTGCAAACAGGAAAGAAACTCTGAAAAATAAAATGTACTTACCCTTTGTAAGAGACATTTACATTTGTAAAGGAAATCTCCATCTATAAAGGTGTCTCCCTCTCTGTACCTGGAAGAAGGGGGAATGACCTTATCTCTAGAAACTCTTATCATGCAGAAGGCAAGGACTTTAAATCTGCATAAAAACCTTACTCTTGTTTACTATACTTTTCTGGTAATGTCCCATAACTGACTCCCCCCACCCCCAACATCCTCCTTTGCCTTTAGCTGAAGATGATATTTAAGGTGGTGGCTTCAGCCATTTTGGTGAGTTGCTCAGTTTGTCTGAGCCTCTCCCATGTGTACATGTTATAAAGCTTTGTTACTTTTCTCCTGTTATTCTGAGTCATGTGAATTTAATTCCTTTTCCACCCAGAAGGACCCAGAGCGGGTAGAGGAAATGTCTTCCTCTCCTACAACACCTCAGTTGTGACAATATGCCATCTCAATGATTTAGCATTTTTGATGATAATGATGACCAGAAGATTGATGGCAACGAGCTTATTTAAATAGACTTCAGCCAGCAAAGATGAATGCATATTTGATGCCATTGACATAATATATCCTGGAAACGATCATCCTAGCTCTATTTCATTCATTTGTTTTTTAAGTTAACTTTTATCAAGTATTTACTACTTGCCAGATTCTGTTAGACAAGATTCCATTGCGTTCATTGAGGATATAACCATGGTAAAGGAGCAAACACATAAAACAGTGCTGATTAAACAAAATAAAACCTTAAATGAAATATTAAAAACAATGATTTTGTAATTAGAAAAAATATAAGAATATATAATGCTGGCATGGTGTAGGGGATAAGCAACACTGTTGATTGTGGAGTCTACTTACAAGGAATGAGAGAAGAGATAATATTTCCATGGGTTTTGAAGGGTAAGAGAGATATGCCATTCCTTCTAGAGGTACTAGACTGTGTAAGAACTCAGTTCTGCAGAATGTGTTCAAGAAAGTGGGAGTAGGTAACATTGATGGAGTACATGTTGGTGGAGTATGTGGGAAGTGGTGAGAAGAGACTGGAAGAGAGTGGAGGGGGGCTGCAAATGGTCATTAACATCATGTTAAGGGACCTTATTGGGAAGAGGGATTATTTCAGGTTTTAAATGAAGGTCTCACTTAGGAAAACATTAGCTACAAGTAACAGAAATTGTATTGCAACATGACTTAAGCAATAAGAAAATTTATTGGCGCACACCTACCGAAGTCCAAAAATAAGATGGTCCAGACTCTGTTCCCCAACATCTCTCCTAGTTTTGCCCTCTTCCACATGATGGTTTAATTTGCAGGCCATATGGCAGATGGATGCAGCATTCCACATACGGTATGACAAAGAAGTGATGGTTGCTTCAAAAAACGCCACAAGAAAAACTTTACCAGAAGTACCTCTCCATGTTACTCCTTGTTTCTCATTGGTTTAAGTCAGATCACATGCTCCATCCTGAACCAATCATTTTCAGTAGCAATTAAGGTGCCTTTAAATAGCCAGATTCTATGCTGAAACCTGGGGTATATCCATGTTAATGTAAAGAACTGACTGTGTAGATAAGAAGGGATCCACAAACAAAACCCTGTTCTTGTGGAAAGAAGAGAGAGGAGGAAAACACTTGTGAGGGTAATGAACAATGGGCAACCCACATCTATTTACATATTTTTCTTCTCACTTAGGTATTTTCAAGTATAGATGACTACATTTCCCAAAACAAGAGAATTGAGTAAACTATCTAACTATGACATCCTGATATAAGCCCAAGGTACCAAGAGGTAAAAACTCCCTCTCAGTTAGTATTACTTACTCATGAAACTGCCATGTCTACAGTTCTCAGGTGACTTCTATGAAAACAGATGGCCTTATAGTGACCAAATAGAAGGAGGAGACAGTGAAGCACCAAATTAAGAAATAACTCTTAGGGGCTGGCCCCGTGGCCGAGTGGTTAAGTTTGCGCGCTCCGCTGCAGGCGGCCCAGTGTTTCGTTGGTTTGAATCCTGGGCGCGGACATGGCACCTCTCATCGAACCACGCTGGGGCGGCGTCCCACATGCCACAACTAGAAGGACCCACAACGAAGAATATACAACTATGTACTGGGGGGCTTTGGGGAGAATAAGTGAAAAATAAAATCTTTAAAAAAAAAAAAAAGAAATAACTCTTAGAAAATGTATTCCTTTTATTATAATAAAATGCATACACTTTTAATTTTATTCATACTTAATATGTTTGCTTCTTTGCACCAGTTATTGTAGTCAGTTAATACCATGACCTCTAAATTCCATTATTATGGCTTGCTTAAGTCTGTGAAAAGGGTTCATGAAAAATATTTTGACAATATCCTCACCTAAAACAGTCAAGGTAGTACTTGCTGAAGTATCATTGCTGTCCCTGGGACTTTTCTTCTTGGATCAGACCCATTAGTGGTTTAATCAAAGTAAGGCATCCTGATAAGGCTAAAATGACCATGCACGGATGAGTTTAGGAAAGTTTCCTGCCCGAGCTCTAATTCCACTTGCCAAAAATTCCAGGGAACTAACTCTGTGTTGTCAGAGAATTCTACCTACCAGGGAACCTACTGCTTAAATTAAATATTTCTTTTTAGACAAAGAACAGTTGGATTGGAATTCCCAACAGACATCTTTCTTTTTTTTTTTTAAATTAACAGCAAGATGTGATTTGATATCAAGTTAAATGAGTTTATTTGAAAGGAAAAAGTACCTCTTGCTCCATTTTTAACTTGAGAAGTAAGGAAGAAAATAGAAGAAAACAGAAGGAAAACAGAATGAGTATTCTATGAGATAAATGATTTTAATATTCATAAAATTTTTCTTTAATTATCACTCTTCTAGGTAGTAGAGTATAGACTATAGCCAGATAGTAGCGGAGATTGAATGTGAGGAAGATAACTGTGAAATCACAGTCTTGAACCGTTAGCAAGTTGATCAGTAGTAGAAGCCAGATCTACAGGTTGGCCGGAAACAAGACGTTTGGCAGCTCCTGGAAGCCAAGAAGGTTGGGTGGCAGAATCTGGATCTATAGCCCAAGGAAGGGAAGCCACAGACTCCACAACTCAGGGGTCTAAAGCCACGGGATCCACAGCCCCGCGAATAGGAAATTCTAGATCCATAGCCCAGGGAGCAGCAGCTGCTGGACCCAAAGCCCAGAGACCTGGCATAAGTTGACCGGCAGGGACTGCAGACTGTGGAGATCCTTGGACGGTAGCAGGACCTCTGGCAGGGGCTGGACACCACACAGGATGTCTGGTATCTTGTGGGCTCACAGCAGGTCTCCCCACAGCCACTGTAGAGAGAGGAGCCCAGCTGGCAGGTGCTGGGAGAGCAGAGGTCAGTGCTGTAGACCAGGTTGCTGGGGTAGGAAGAGCCACAGGAGGAGCCTGGGTAGCGCAGGTAGCTCCCAAGGGAGCAGGAGGAGAAGTTTCCAGAGCAGCAGCTGTAGGACATGGTGACAGGAGATGTGAGTTTAGCTGAGTTGTAGTGAGAAGGTGCTCTGATATCCCTGGTTTTTCCCAGCCACATATTTATATATCCTCTCTACGCTGGATGTGATGCAAACCCTCCTCATTCTTACGCATGTCTTATCGTGAAAATAGCTAATTAACCTCAGCTATAATTATAACAGAACACATTCATGTGTTCTTAACTGCTGTTTAATTATTCTCGTTTATAGAAGCCACTCCGCTTCTCTCTTTTTTTAATTTTCAGAAATAAGGTGTGGTTTGCCTTTAAAGATGTTGGTCATGATGTAGATGGTGTCCTCTCTTGTTCACTGAGCTTGACTCTGGGGATTTTGATCATGAGTGTGTAAATTGTTACCAGCAATGTACTCCTAACAGTCATCAGCACCTCCCTCCCAAATATTTACATATGTTTTATTGAGCATTTACCATATGTAAAACATTGAAAATTGTGGTATCGTTTAATCCTTGCAACAACCTTATGAGAGAGGAATTATCACCAAGTTAGTAACCCCGATGGGTCTATCTCCAAAGCCAGCAGGAACCACAATGCTATGCTGACAACTTGAGAAGCTCGTCTTCTTTTGCTCCCAGAATCACAGGAACAATGAATTCCCAGGGGAAAAAATAACATTTCAATATGATAACATTTGCATTTTATCCGATGTTTCTGCCTATGTATTCTTTTATGAAGTCCCCAGATCCGGCCACTGAAGGAACAGCTTCTTAATTCTTTTAGATTTTTTTTTCGTACTCAAAGTTATCATGGAGATGGTTGTTTGAAACTATCTTCTATTTGTCTTCTCATTTAGATTATCATCCTTAAGCAACTCATGTTTTCTCCAGTATGGAGTTATTGCATTCGTCTTTTTCCATGTGAGGCAGAGAATTCTTTGGCAAATACTTAGACTATCACTGAGAATAATTGCTAAAAACTGGTATAGCTTGAACGAGTTGACTACCAATGAAATACATTTGCAAAAACTTGAATTTTAATCATGTGCTAACCTTTGCCAACTCAGTTGGGAGTGAGAAATGAGACACCTCAGAGAGTGATTCACTTCACTCCCTGCTGAGTTCTCTTTTGCTCATCATTCTAGAAAGACAAAGCAGCATAAAATTTACCTTCATATTAAGTAGTTAAAATTATCCTCATCATTATAAAAAAAATCAATGGTATAAAGAAAAGTCCTGGAATTAGAGATGTCTTTTTTTTCATTTATATATAATATCCAACTTCTGCCTTAAAGCATCTTTTAGAAATTGAAAAGCAAAAAGCTATGTATGTAATTTGATCTTTTCTCTTTGTCTCGCAGATGATGGTTTTTTCTAATCTCCTATAGTATTTGCTTATCCGGCACCAATGAAATAGTCCGCCCATTGTTTTGCTCACAAATGTCTACCTAAGGTATTGCTCACTCCCCCAAATCCATCTTATCCCTCAAAGCCAAAGTCAAATTCTTTGTATCCGACAGGTGTTCATCTCATCTAAGCTTTAACTATTCTGCCATAAGGATCTTAGCATTTTATAAGCTGTCTATTTGAGTGAACACACACACACACACACACCCCCCCTGTGGAAGAATTGGAAGAGACATCTTGAACTGAGCTGTGCAGACTAAGATTTCAGTCGTTTGAACTTGCAGGATAGTCCTATGTGTGGAAAGAGTCAAGTACTCAGAAGTTCCTCAGAATCAGCAACAAGGCTTAATTTTCTTTGGCTGAGTGCCTGTCACAGAGTGGGTGCTTCAAATTATTTATGAAATGAAAGAATATATCAAATCATCCACTTTTTATTTTTACATTTATCCAAAATAAATATGTGCATATGAACTAATTGCTTTTTCTTTTTTTCTTTTAAAAATTATCTTTAATAAAATATTAAGTAAATATAATATCTCTTTCATACTTAGATGTAAACCCCAAGTTAATCATAACCAGATCAGTGCTTGAAGTGACCTTAGATCTCTGTCTCCCACACTCACCCCAAGCAAGACTACCGTTGTGGCCTTAATTTATTATTCTTTCTTTCTTTTTCCAACTGCTACATCCTCATACATTCTAATGGTTCTGTTTTCTCAGCCTGACAAACATACAAACAACCTTCCACAATCCAAAAATTTTAAATAGCAGCATCACCTCCAAGATTACATGTTCTTCTTATTTTTAAAGAGAGAATTCTCTAAAGAGTTCTGCAATCAGTTTGCCAACTAACTCACTTATTCTTTTTTCAATAACCACTCTGTTTCTTTTTGGTTTAACAATCTTCTGGAATTTCACTGACATGGTTAGCAGTGACTTGATGCTGTCAGATGCAATGGACATTTTAGGGTGTCAAACAGTTAATGACACTTAACGCAGGTGACTGTGCCCTTGATCTTGAAACATGTTCATCTATGTACTTCCACTACAACACGCTCCTGGTTTTCTATGTAACTTTCACCCACCTAATTGTCTGTTACCCTCAGTTGGGTTCTTGGATATGTTTCTTGAGGCTTGATCCTGGTCCGGCAAGGTAGTCTTTCTATAGGGGAAGCACTTCCCCTTCATGGCTTAAAATACTACCTGTATTCTATGACACTCAGATGTATATTTCCAGTACACAGATATTTTTACTTTTGTAATTCTAGACCCATATATCTAACTACCTACTAGCCATTGCCATTTGGAGGTTTCATAAGGGGATCAAGCTTTTATGTGAACGAAATTGAACTTTTGCTTTTCCTTAGGGCGAAAAAATATATTTTTTTCTCATCTGAGTATGCAACATTTCCACCCACCTAGTTGTTTAACTCAGAAACCTTGGAATGTTCCTAACATATGCAATCCATCCTGAGTATGACCCATTCCATCTTCCAAATTTATTGTAAATCTACCTAGTCTAGGATTTCTCAACCTCATCATCATTAACATTTTGGACTGGATAAGTCTTTGTTGTGAGGAGTATCCTGTGCATTGTAAGATATTTGTCAGTATCCTTAGCGTCTATCCACTAGATGCCAGTGACACATGCCTCCCCCCCATTATGGCAATTAAAAATATTTCCAGAAATTGCGTGGGGGAGAAAGAAGCACTGGTGGAGAACCACTGCTCTAGTTCCAAGTAGCTTCTTTCTTGGCAGAACTGTTGAAAAATTTTCAACACGGCCTCTCATTTTCAAAAATTGTGTCCTTCAAACTTTTCTCTCCATCCCTGTCTGATGGTCTTCTTAAAACTAAAAACTGGTCATGTCACTCTCCTGATAAAAACTTTTTCATCGTCTTGTAACACACGTATGATAAAACACAAAACCTCTACACAATCTGGAGGGCAGCACAATCGCGTCCCTGCCCATGTCTTCAACCACCTCTTCACAGCGTACTCTTTCCCTTTCTCACAAACACACTGCCTTTGTTCCACAATGAAAATATCTGAAATGTTTTTCCTACCACAAGGACATGCTATTTTCTCTGCCCTGAATATTCTTTCTGTATCTGGATAATTAAAATAATTAGGCCTGTCCTCACTTTCTAACCAACATATCCCGGGATAAATTAGGCTGGCCTTTGATGATTTCTATCAACATTGTACTTAATTCTATCATTTTTGTAATGTATTTATTTTGCAGACTGTCCTCTAGCCTAGAATAGTGCAACTGAAGCAAGTCCGTGACAGTTTGTTACCATCTGCCAGGAGAGAAATAACATATATCAACAAGTAAATCAATGAATTGCTTCCTTCATTAGAAGTCTTACATGATTTAAAACATCAGCTTAACAAAGTCATAGGTTTGGTAACCTCCCTGATTTAACCTGTTCTGTGACCCACTCTTTGAGTGGCACTTCTCTGACTGTTAGCTCTAATGGGCGGGGAAGGCGGGAAGTATGCTCTTTCTTGTTCAACACTGAATCTTCAGCTCAAGAATAGTCAAAGTTATATAGTGGTTGCTCCATAAATACTTACTTAATGCATAAACTAGGAAACTGATGGTTTTATCATCACCTAAATATCTTCTTTTTTATCTTGTCTTGAGGACTTTGAACATTTCCTTGATATGCATATTCCCTTAAATGTTTCACAAAAACAGTGAACCTAGCAGAGACTCAACTGCCCTCATGAACAGTCTCCTGGCCCAGACCTGCTTCTGTTTCTTTGCATCCTATTTTCATTATAGTATACCTATAACATCTATGCAGTTCTGAAAATGCGATCCCTGGGAGACATCTATGACCTCGCTCTTCCTTACTTCCCATCTCCAATCTCAGGTCAGCATGTCTTGCTATTTTTTATCTCAAAAATATATTAGAATCCTTCATTTTCCTATCTTGCTGTAACTCAGCTGTTTTGCCTTTTTTTACTGCAGGCGGTCTTCAGTATGCCCCCCATGGCCTTGTCTCACCTATCTCAACTCTTTTCCCTGTGCATTTCTCTGAATGGTTTCTCTAAAAGTCTATGTCAGCCTTTACAAACTCGAATTCAATTTCCTAAGTATTTTATGCATGTCATCCTATGATCTGACCCCCAATTATCTCACACCTGGTGTCTTTATGTCCTAATTTTATCTTCAAAAGATATCAGATAGCTTCAGCTCAGCTTAAGGGCAACGGCAGAGGAGGAGCTAGTCAGGCAAAGGGGCTTTGTTTCAAGAAGCTCAGCATCAGCAAAGAATGTCAGAAGAGAAGAGATGAAAGATGAGGCTGGAGACAGACAGGAGCCAGATTGCAAGGAGCTCTGCAAGTCATGGGAGGGGTTTGGACATTCTTCAAAGGTCTAAAAGTCTCTGAAAATCAAACTTTTTTTAGAAATAATTTGGTGGTGAAAGACAACATGATCTATCCTCTTTACATGGAATCACATGGCTCAAATTAATGGAAACTATGCATAGTTTTGTTTTCTTCTTTTTATTAGTGTGGATATCTTATGTTTTGCCTCATAAATAAATAAATATATTTGATTATGGGGTGTTGTCCCAGATACTACCTGGGATATTATATAATATGCAGTTTATCCGTTCTATTATCTTTCTAAAATCTGAAAAACTCTGAATTCCAAAATTTATCTGTCTCC